ATTAAAAAGCCTCATCTCAAGTCTTCTTATTTGGCTTTACTGAAACTTGGGAAATAAAAGGTGCCATACAATACCTTAATAAAAAAATACCTTATTGCCAAAAAATGCTAATCGTCATCTGAGCCTTTTGCTGTTGGAAAAACAGTGCTGGTAGACTCGCTCAACAAACTCAATTTGTACAAAAACGCAGTATTTACGAAGCACAATAAAGCGAAGCGCAATAAAACGAGGTATGCCTGTATATAAACGGGGAGCAAACCCCACCCTCCCTCGCACTGATGATGTTACTTAGTCGGGTAATGAAACGTCTGCAAGCAAACCGCCAAGCTCAGAGAGCACCAAGGGCTCCACAGTTCAATCCCGAGTTACAGATGTTCTTTTCTATTGAAAGGGTTGTGTGTGTGTGTATGTATGTGCGCGCACACACGCATGATCTGAGAAGTAAAGACCAGGTTGCATATGCTCTGCTCTGGGTCATGTGACTGAGAGGGAGGCGGGGCAAGGCTTAGAATGGAGCCTTCTACAGCATTCCAAGCCGCTGCCCTTCCCATAAAGAAGCACTGGGGGATTTTCCCCTTTTTTCTCCACATCCCCCAGTTGGATCCAGCCCATTTTCAATCTTGATCGTTCCTGTGCTGGTTTCTGCTGCCATGCAAAATTTGGTCCTATTCGGTTCTGTTTCTGGGGAGTTATAGGCCGACAGACAAAGTCCCAACCCTATTTATGTACATCTTCTCAACGTTCCGTTAGTATGGAAGGAAGAACAAGATGTGAGGAAATGGTTCTTCTACCATTGACTTAACGCCACTGACTCCTGGCACTCAGCCCCCCTCAGCAGAATATGCCTCCAGTCCTGAATATGCCCCTGGAGGCCACAATCCAAAAAGTGGAGACCAGGATAAAAATTGCATTGGATTTCATTCATTTCATTTTAGTGCAATTAACATTAAATATAGCACGATTAAATATAGTACGATTACTTTCCAGCCACGTATTTAATCATTTTTCGCTTCTGTCTCCTTAAAGCTATGGCTTGGAGCGGGTTACCAAAACTGTAAAATAAGGACATGAACAAGCATTGCCATTTAGTAACCAGGGTTTCTAGGCGGTACTTCCCTGATCTATAAGCATTGAAAATGGGAACGCTGTAATTTCATGTTTAAAATGTGAAGATGAGAAGATAAAATTACGTGGAGCTTGATGTTTGCTTTCTATGGTTATTTTCTTGTTTCTGATGTTCTGATTTAGCAGCTCCTCCTCCTCCTCCTCCTCCTCCCCCTCCTCCCC